TTCTTTCTTTCTTGTCCTCCTTCTCTGGACTATCAATAGGATTGGAATAGGTTTTGTGGGTACGGTTATTTGTTGGATCCTTATTCAATTTTTTTCGATGCCTCCTTCTGTAGACTTTCAATAGGTGTTAAATAGGAATTTCACACAAATTGTGGTTGAATTTTTTTGATCCCTATTTAATTTTTTGATCCCTATTTAATTTTTTTGATCCTGATTTATTGTTTTTTGATCCTTTAACTTTTTAAACCCCTATCCCGGCGCAACTCGGATTCCAAATCGACGGCATCCAATGCGAGCCAAACTGTGGGATGGGACCTGGTTTGACTTGCTGCGGACAGGTCGCAGCATGGCTCCGCGTGAAGGCCAGGGGCAGTCAAGTCATGCCACAGCAAGGTGTGCTTGCCCGCGCAACGGAACCAGTTGTGTGATCAGACGACCACGGACTTTTCGGTATGGTTGCATCACCGCAATATTCACCGCTGATCCGCACCCGACATCCGCAGCTGTGCGTGGGTGAAAGTGGAGTCGACGTGGTACAGTGCTGCAGGCTGGCAGTGGGTCTCGACCGCTTTTGCAACAAGAAAAAATCCGTAAAACATAATGACATAATCTCGACGGCGTGTCGCTAGTTTTCTAGTCGTGGTTGACGTGTTACGAACAGCCCACCGTGAGCTCACGCGCAGCGGCGGCTGCTTGTGATTTCGCGGAAGAAAAACTGCTGTCGGGTATGCAGTTTGACTCAACATGTTGTCAATTTGGGGCTCCAGCGTCAACATGCAGCCAAGACGAGTTGGCTTGGCGCTCCACGCCAGGCACGTTGGATGCTGTGCCCTTAAGCCCTTAAGATGTCCAGTGCAGCAGCTGCACTTTCGGTTTCTGTGCAGCAGGTCGCCCGGGCATGGCGAAAGAATGGGACTCCGGACAGCCGCAAGATGGCAGCATGGTGCAGGACAGCAGGATTTGTTTGCTTTGGTTCTGTTGATTATGTTGCCTTGGGTGTGTTTGTCTTGCTGCCCTTAGATTCGTAACCATGCCAGGACGCCGCTGCGATCAATTTGCCCGGTAAAGGCGTGTAGCTTGCATCGTGTTTTTCACGGGCAGCGACCTCTTCTCCCTATGCTTATCCGGGTTGACCCATTTGATCGCACAGCTCCTGCATCACCGCAGGTATGGGCAAAGGTCCCGTCATGGACGGAAACGGGGTAAAGGAACGGGTACTGCTGTTTCTTCAGGTCGCCGGACTGTATGCTAGTTTGCATGGTGCACAGGCGAAAGCAAAGTCTCCACCACCGATGGTTTTGCTCTTGGATGCTCTGGATTGCTTGCAATGACCTCTGTAAAGCATGCGGTGCAGGTGTCTGCCGACCTCTTTGGTGCAGAGGTTCGCTACCTCGTTCTTTCAGCTTTTTCTCGCGAGCCTCACTGGCGTGTTTATTGGGCTATTGTTTGCATTTCGGTTTTCCGTGCTTGTGGGGATCAGCAGTTACCGATTGCAGGATGGACGAAGACCCTGTCACGCCCTTCGAATGGTCTATCGCTGCTACAATGTTGAAAGTGCCGCGACCTCTTCTGTCAGCAGTGATTTCGTGCCTGCTTTGTCTGCATTTGCGACACGCAGCGCTGAGGCCCACCTTCCACCAGTTACGCCGCACTGCTTTTGACGAACAGGCCTCAGGTGATCGCAGAATCCAGAGGTGGAGCGGACTAGCTTCACAACTGACGATAGCATTTGGCGATGGCCCAGGTTCTCCCAATACTGCCGGTTTCTGCCATGCTCACGGACGACGAGCTAGATGAACACCAGCCCACTTCCTGGATGATGCCACGAGTAGTGCGTAGCAGTGATGTTTGTACCAGTGTCGTTGTACGTGCTTCTTCTTTCAGGCTCAGCCGATCAAAACGGAAGGATCCCCGTCAAACAATTGCTGCAGTTCCTTCCATCAGGCTGATGCCAGGCACATGCAGGGGCTCTACTAGTACCGATATGTACCGACAGCTAACAGACCAGGGGTTTGCTATTAGGCGACTGACCGGCAGTTGATTTCTGATTGCTGCTCCCCTTATGCAGGCTTAGCGCATCCTGTGACTTTCAACGAAGAGCAGATGCTTCGGCTGTTCGTTACGGATCCAAGGAGCATGGTCGCGCCTTCAGTGAAACGATAGCCGAAGAGACCCACCGAAAGACCGAAAGACCAGTATGGCAAGGCCTACAACCTCTCCAGCACTCAGCGTAGCCGAGTGCCGCTTAGCGTTGAGCAGCCAGATCCCCAGCAAGCCTTAGCAATGGAACAGTTGAGCATCACTCTGCTGCAGCAGCAGTTACGGTGGGGTTAAGGTGTGAAATGGCGCACAGGATCATTGTTCGCTTCTTACTTGCACGGTGATGCCACAGACGCGACAAGACACAGAGGCAGTTCCATGTTGCTTGCAGCACCACTGTCAGCTCGAGCGGCACGAAGTTCTTCGAAGTGCTTTCAGCCTGGAAGATCATGGAAACCCAACTCGCAAGGTGAAACGTGCATGTGCTCTGTGTGACAGCATGGAAAACCAGTTTTCGTTGAAGAAAAGTGCCAGGTCATGAAGGACCATGTTGGAGGCTTCGGCAGAGCTGGCAAAACTGCTGCCGGAGCGTTGATGCTTCTCCAGGCTTCTATGCATTGGCTCTGCCCGATGAAGGGACGGCCCAAGCTATCGCTGGCATGGATTATGCCACACCGCACATGCTCGGGCCATATGGCATCGTACAGCACCCCTACAAACGTGAATGTCTTTTTGTGCGTGGCATGACCGAGATCCGAGGCTTGGAGTTTCTGCAATTCGTTTGCTTTACTCTCCTTCGCGGGACAATTTTCCCGCCATGCATGCCGGTGCCTTATCGGACTCTACATGTGCCTGAGGAAGAGACCTGAGCAGAGGTTGAGTTTTCAGGGAACAATTCGCTGGCGCTTGTGATGCAAGGTCAATATGCACCACATCCTGGCGCTGATCCAAGCCTGAGACGTGCATGTCAGTGATAACACAAGAATCCACAAGCGAAACGGTGCAAACTTCAGCTGTCTGTGTCGCGAGCTCCCAGGCCGACAACGACGCTCTCCTAACCTTCTGGCAGGAGTCGTTCCAAGTGCAGGACATTGCGGGAGACATGGAAGAGTGTTCTGCTTCAACCCTGTTGCCAGTTGGTGTCTTCCACAGTGGGGTTTTGGACAAATCCTTTAAAGCTCACAGCAAGACAAAGGAGAAGCCAAAACTATGCAGAAATAGGGATTTTCATAGTCTATGGCAGGAACTGCAGGTCTCCGGTTAAAATTGAAGAACTGAGGACATCTTGAACTTTTTCATCCGAAGTCTTGAGTAAAACGTAGAGGACATGGTATTGCGGGCAAGATACAAGCAACAACTGAAGCTGGACACTCGTTCGTAAGGGAGGCTTCCACACCGTGGGAATGCAGTTCACAGTGCACATTTGATGTTGCAGCAGGGTTGGCTTCTGCGCTGCGTTAACAGCATCTTCATTGTGGTGGGTAGTTTTTGGAGTTTTTTGCATAATTCCACGTAACTCTTCTAATAGCTCTTCTGTTGTCTAACGGGTCTCCGTCAGCCTGATCGGCGCCAGGCATAGATGGCATCAGGCCCGACTTTTGTCTTGCCTTGCTGAGCAAGCGGTGTAGCCTCCCAGGATCGACTCTCGGCACCTCTATCTCGGATGTAGCGCCGTGCGATCAACGCTCCGCTCGGTGCGTGGATTGTGTGGCCGACAAGTCGGTTTGCAAATGTTGGGTGTAGCTCCCAAGGCGTCACGGCTTCGTAGGTGGACCTCGGTTGTAGCCCATTTGGAATGCGGACTTGGCGTTTCGATAGGGCTTCGATTCACGAAACGAGACAACAGCGTCTGCCTAGATTCTGTGCCAAAATGTATTCTAGATTGCAGGCAAAAGCGCTTTGAAGCCCCAGCATCACGAAATATCCTGAAACTTGAGTGTGCATGTTTTGGAGACTAAAAGCAGCGTGGACCCAGGGGTTTAGCACATGGGGATGTGAATTCTCGCCACTCATGTAAAATTCTCCGGTCTCTGCCACACTCGCCTTCCGCCTTCCCTCCTAAAGACGACTAAGAAGGCCTGGGGTAAAGCCTCCCCGACTTGTTCGGGGTCGTCGAATTTTCTCCTAGGCCCACAGAAAGAAAGAGAGAGGCGATTGGTTTGAGCTGCCCGATCATTGTCCATGGCGTGAATCTATAGAGAAATGGCATTGAGAGAGCGAGGCTATCCGAGATTGCGTAATTAAGAGCTTGCCTCGCTTCGACCACAAAGCATGGAAAGGTTGCAGCTCCGTTACACGGTGCACTGGAGGGCTCGGTGGCCAAATACTGTCGTCCGAAGGTATGTGGGTGGGGAGGATTCAGTGTAGACAGCCGAGCTCTTCGTGATCGTAAGAGTGGGAGGCCGGGGGTGAGAGACAATGTGGTGCAACGGTGCCAGTCACATCTTCCATCTCCCGTTTTCGCATGGAATGAAACAACTTCACACCTGGACGAACGCAACTCACCTTTTGCGGGGAGGTAAGTTAGTAAGCTGTGCTCACGACGGAGTTGTATGCATGTACCAGAGTGCAGCGAGACTGGCGTCATGTCGGCCGGCATGATGGAAAACAGTTCTGAAGCAATTGATTTGCCCGTGCGTCCGTTGAAACCTTGTTGCTGCAATCGTTGGGGAGAACATGATGTACTGCACGTGTAAGCAGAAACTCCCTGTTTTTGCTTCTCGCACGAAGGTTTGCTTCGTGGCCGCCATCAGTGAAACTCGCTGCCGACACGGGTCGGTTGAGCTGCATGTACAAACCGGATCGTGCAAGAACGCGAAAAGCGCGAAACAATCTGGGTGGTTACTTCCAGTGTGCAAAACGGCTACCGGCTAGATGAATGCAAGGTACCGCAAGCTACCGAAGCCTTCTGTGCATTTGTTTCGTGTGCATCCGGCGAATATGCAGGAGCTCTTATACTACGGCTACACAAAAGAGGCAGTGCCTTTATTTAGCTTTGCGGGTGCTGCGCAAGGGTCGAGTCGACGGGTGTGGGCCTGAGGCGATCAAGGAGAAGTTACCAAAATTGCCAGCGACCCAGCTACATGACCAGCTTTGCACGGGGTCTGGGATGGATGCAAGTGAAGGACCACAGCTGATGTCCGGAACAGTTGAGAGCAGACACATGGTCACAAGTCATCTTAGCGGCACTCCCCCAGGCCTGTTCAGTTCACCGACTTTGCCTACTGGCAGAAGTCGCTCTTTTCACGAGGCCAGCAATGAGTGGCAACGGCACCGCGGCAAGGTTTGAATGCTTTCATTCACGGCTTCTTATGCGGGCCAAAGAACTTTTATTGTACTTGTGCAGGTCTTCTGAAGCCGGACTTATCGTACTGGCCCGGGCCCTTGCTTGGGTTGGACGGGTGTCTGGGTTTTGTGTCTCTCTCTCTGTCTCTCTCTCTCTCTCTGTGCGCTTGCTTGCAGTGTCAGAGCTGTCTGCCGAGGGGACGGCAGATAGTGACGTCGCAGCCTCCTGCAGTTCTAGTCCAGACGCTCAGGATTTTGAAAGTGAAGGAAGGACCAGTCGCTTGCAAGATGTGAGGATGTTCCCATCGACATTCCGCGACCGCGTGTGTGGGTGGCGGTTGGCGATAGCTCGGCACTGAGGGAAGTTTAGCCAATGCCGATTGAAGTGTGCGTCGCTGTGCCTGGCAAGCATGGAGACGATCGCAGATAGCAGAAAGTAGATGGGCTGCAGGCATACGTGCACACGTCCTGCACGTTGCAGCACCTTCTCGATTGCATCAAGGGTTTTTAAGGGGTCAGCAATCTACGGGAGCAGCATGCAGAACGCACAGTTGACCCGTGCGACATTCTGCGTATGCAGGGGCCTCTCAGAAGAGACAGTCGATGAGGTGCCAAGATTGACTTGGACCAGGAGTTAATGTTGCCGCCTTTCGGCCGCAAGCAGTCGCAAAGCAAACGTGTAGATGCACAGGGGCATGCACAGTAAAAACTACACCGTGCAACAAGAGTACACAGCAGTCATAACAACACCATTCTTGCCTTAATGTTATTGATGTTAAATATGGCACGGCTGAGAGAGAATGAGAGATTAAGAGATTAACACCGTAGCCTTTGAACAGACTTGAGACAAGCAGGGCGCACTCGTGCGCGGGGAGGGGTGCTGCGCGCCATGCACGCCTCTCTTCTGACTGTGTGGAAGAAGATTAACGCCGTAGCCATTTTGGCTCAAGTCGTGAACGGTTCAAGGCCCGAACCCCGGAGTGACTGATAGTGCTTCAAACCTGGAGGCGTGAGAGGAAGTCCTACCGGCCTGTAGGGCCATCGAGCACATAGGGGAGTCCGCAGCTCCACGCGACCTCGCCGTGCAGGTTCGGGACAGCGAGATCAGGGGGACGCAGCACGACGGCAACCGCGGCTCAGGCGTGCGGGGGATGTTGTGGACGACAACCCGACCGCCATCGGCGAGCCTTTGCGCAAAGTACCAAGAAGGTGCGATCCACCCCAAGGACGAGGGGAGATCCAGTATATCTTCGGTGTGATCACGGCTGCACGTGGGGTGGTAGAAGACAGCCGGCACATGGCACGGTCAGGCCTGGCATAGCCCCTGGATACTGGAAGGGGGGACTCGGCCACTTGTGACCGGCGGGCCGCGTTGTCTGCTATGTCTGCTTCGACCCGCGCTGACAACCAAGCATCGACGTCCGGTCCACTGACGAACACTGCTGCAAGCCCGCACCAAGCGCACCGAATGCTGCCCCCCCAGCATGGCAGTGCTGGAGGCAGAACGCCAAGCCCAGACCATGTGCAACCGATGGGGGCGGGGCCTATCAAGGCACCAAGCAGGACAAGCCCTCCAGCAACAACCTGCAGCAGCAGACCATCCTGCAGCAGCTCAGGGGCAACACACGCGCTCCCGCTACCACCACAGCTCCTTCGGCAAACAGTGCGCCTCGGCAGAGGTCAGCCAGCAGCTCCATGGACGACCAAGCACACGGACAGCCGCAGCAACACCACCAACAATCCACGCAACAACAACTGTCGGACACGTCCCGACGTCGCAGCGCACCAGCACTCAGAGGGACTTCAACTTCCCGAGCAGCAGCCGTGGGGCACCGGCTTTCCGCCCTGGCTCCCACCAGCCGACAGCCGCAGCGATCCGACAGGAAGTCCAGCAGCGGTGGACACCACAAGCACACCCGAAGCCGTGCAGCAGCTGGAGGAGCAGAACGCAGGGCTGTGGCTGCTGTCTCCTGTCGGTTGGTTCAGTTGCGAGCTGGTAGGCTGGTGGGCATCAGCTGTGGCGGCGGTGTTGGGGGGCTGTTGTTGGTGTGGCGTTGGTAGGGCCTGACGCGGGAGCAAGTGGAGGTTGAGATTGCCAGTCTTGAGTAGGCTGAGGTCTGCTCCCAGGCCCCCGGGCTAGAACCCTCGCCCATTCTTCCTCGTCGTTATCCTCATAGAGTCTCACATGGTGCCCCAGGTTTCGCCATTGCTCGTCGTCTCCTTTGCCAGTGTTGTGAATTTTCCCCCGCATGCGTTGGTCTCCTCCTTTGTGGTACGGCTTTCGGGGGCCTGTTTCCCCCTTGTCCCCCTCTCGTGGCCACAGCACCGGACCAGCATCAACTAGTCACAAGGGACCACCAGCAGATCCCAGACGCCGCAGAATAGCTGGGAGCAGCGGCGCCGCAGCAGAGGGGTAACGCACCATGGAAGGCACCAGCAACACGCTGATGGTCAGCGCCGGCAGAGGCCCCAGACTCCCCAGACCACTCACAGCACCGCCGGAGCGCCCATCGCTCACGGAGTGATACCTCGCATGCGGGCCGCAATTTTCGGCGTCTGGGCCGCGGTCACCATGACACAGCATGCCACAAACGGGCCCCAGTACCAACCGAAGCAGGTGCACAGCTACACCAGAGCCCGACAAACACCACGACACGACAGCCCCATCGGGGAGCATCACGAGAGGCGCGCAATAAAGCGGTTCCTGGTGGTCACTGCAGTCGGCCAAAACCGGGATGAGGATGGAGCACACATGCAAGCAGGAGACAACTTTCTTGTGCAGTACTATTACGACCGGAGCAGGCACAGCAACACTAACCCAGTCGGAAGGCCAACTCCACATGGCCCCACGTACCCATTGGGACATTGGGACTTAAAGCATAGAGTCAATAAATGATAATCTTGACTAGCCCGATGGACTTTTCAAATCCCTTACACTACCAAGGTATCCCGAAAATTCAGAACGTCTTCATCATATAGGAGCTTTCTGCGACATCTGTTGCGGAATCGCCTGTCCTGCATGCTGTAGTATGAGTTTTCCGTATCTGTTCAAAGAAGAAGAAGAAGCAAAGCCTCGGCTTGCACACAGCGGTGCTTGTAACCTTTTTACGCCTCTGCTTGCACACTGTCATGTTCACGATCGCATCTTCGAACGGACCAAGACTTAGACTGTGCGGCTTCAGACCTTGGAACCTGGGAGAAGAATGCAAACATCAGCTATCTGTTTGCCCTTCTCGTGTCCCAAACCGACCACTGAAACCATACAGAAGCCTATCACCTCGCTTGACTTACTTAGCTGCTCGTGCTTCATTACGACGTGTCGGTCTTAACAGTCTTAACACTCTGGATTCATATTGATTTGGTGTAACCCCTCTGCATCCGATGATTGTGATGTTGAAGCAAGCAGTCCTCTGCGTAAGTCTAACCGTTCCGCAAAGCGACACTGTCGGACGCCGTTAGGCAATCCATATGTTTACATTTGCCTTGTCTTGATTTCCATGTCCTCAGGGGCGCTGTCTGAAATCTCTGTGCCCCATAAGGCTTTACCGGCTTTACCTCATGCACTCGCGAGGGCACTTTATACTATAGGGTTTGGCACATATCAGCGTAATGTCCTGATGCCATCCCATAAACTAAACAAGGGGCCATATTTAAAAACAAAGCGGTTGCTGTGGGCTTTACGAAGTATACGTTTAAACAATGAAATTTGCTGTAGTCATGCTCGTTATAATCCAACCGCTTCCAAACATCAAATAAGCTCAGGGACTTCGGTATTTTTATCAAACGTGACGTATATGTTTTCCTTACATCTATCTCGGCAGTCATGTCGAGCATGAAGCAACAGCTATCAGCTATCAAACTTCTCAGTTTTTCGGTTAAACACTCGGTAGTATTTATTTGTCTCCCCTGCGGCGGGAAGGCGGGATTGTCCGACACTCCTTGAACAACTGCATGTTCAGCTCGTTGGAATACAGTTTCTGTACTGTATCTGGTTGAAGAGCGTCTTGTTGAAATCATACATGACTCTAGACATGAGTATTATGCTGTCATGTTTTATATAGACTGGAAACTTGCTCTCATGGCACAAACGAGGCAAGTCGTATCCATCGTAGATCAAAGTGTATTCGGCTTGGCCTTTAGGATTCGTGTATTCGTCGCACTCACTGGATATTATCTTAAAGTCGTTTAGTGACTGCATCATTCTACACTTCACTGGTTCGCCTGTGTCGATTAAACGACATCCGGAGAAGCCTGGACTGAAATGTCGCAGGTGTCAGGGTTTGTATATAGACTATAGTTTGCGGTTTATTTGTGGTCGTTCTTAAGTATGTGAGCGCTCATGTGGTGGGTTACAATATACTTCGCAGGGGCATATTGAAATGGCGGGTTAACAAAGACTTAAAGATTTTGAACTGTATGCCGTAGTGATCGAAGACTGGCACCGGTCTTGTTCAGCATCTTTTACATGCATTCTTTTGTTGTTAGTTGACTCTTTTCCCTTCGCTTTTTCCCATAAATGGTGTCCTTAAGCCAGTCAGCTATGGTATTAAAGCAACGCTCGTTCTGTGTGAAATTTTGTACTTGTATTACTGCCTTAAATGTTGCAACTTTGGGGTCTAGTGGGGTCTGAATGTATCTGTGATACATGCTTGCATTCGCGGTTCTTGTTAAACTCTCCCATCAGCAGGGTTGGGTCGGTCGTAAAGGTGTCCATTACAGTCAGTTTGTTATGCCCATGTGTCCTTTCGCATCGGTACATCATTTTTCCACCGTCCAGTATCTTGTGGCCCTCACGTTTCTGCAGATATAGAATAGACTGACGGCCTTGCTTTGCTGTCTTTACATGGATTTGATGGTATCATCCTCCCCAGCTTTAGTTTGTAAAAAAGCACTTCTACCGAGTATGTAGGCTTGCCCCCTGCACTTGTTCTTCCGCTTCCTCTTTGCTTTCTGCATTCGTTGCTCTTATGCTTCTTTATCGTGGTGTTGGTCGTGGATTTTGTCTGTGGATAGCTTGCCTTTTTGTCTTGTGTTTGTGTGATTTTGTGGTTGTGAGCAAACTGATTAAGTTATCAGCGGTTGTGAATTCTTCCATTTTACGGCTTCGTAAGAAGCGGTCAGACTTTCAATTTTGGTTCTTGTGTTTCGACTGGAACGATGCTTATGATTGTCGTAGGTTGTGTGTAATGCTCGGGTGTTATGCTTGATGATTTTGGTCATACAACTGTATACCTACTATATGTGGGCATTTTTTTCAATATCAATTTTCTTAAGACTTCTGCAAGAGCTCAATCATGTTTCAAACTCATGTTATGAAGAAAATGTGATAGTCTGGTTGCATGGTCTATAAAAATCACCAGGATATGACTTCGCATGAGATAACGGAGCAACCGGCAGCGTCGAACCGACTCTATTATAATTTACGCAAAGATGACGAAACAAGCATGCAGAAAAAGCGTGATGCTGGGTTAAGACACGCGCAGAGAAGACAGTTAAGGAATATGTTCAAATGCATAATATCAATCATTCAGATTCAATCGAATGTCAAATTTTTGAGATATGAGCGATAGAAAAGTGTTCGGGGCAGAAAAAGAGGTTGACCAATAAACTGTGACATGGTCAGCTACAAAATCGTTATGCCGATGGTTGAAGAAAAATGATGATTAATTGTAGTATTAAATCGTTGCTTTTGCCGTTACTTTTGTTAATCTGTTAATCACTTACTGTATATGAGTGAGAATCAAACAATCATCAATGAAGTTTGTGTTGAGAAGGCCGGAGGAAGCGCGGGAAAAGAACAGAACCAAAATTGGAGCCGGTATTAGCGAGGTTTTTAGACAGAATGTTGAACAAGAAAGAAGACCAGTGGGACAAAGCAGTTTCATTGCGCCAGATATCGCATACGAGTACCAGGCGGATTCGTTTTTATATAACCGACATTTCCCAACCAAAAGTCTAAAGTAGGGGTGCTAATGATTGAAGTTTTCGACGGTTTTTTGCATGTAGTGATGTAGTGGCCATTAAAGGTAAGAAGGAGGAAGATCTGGTTGATGGCATGCTTGAATGTTTACAAAAATGGAAAGAAACCCAACAGGTTTCTTACAGATGGTGCAATTGCATGTTCCACCCAGGCAATCCAAAAGCTGTTGAAGGATGAGAACACAGAACATCACCGAACAAGCGCCCATCCGAATTCTAGCGAAACGGGCATCCGATCTTGTAAGGATATGTTATACTGAAGGGTTAAGGGTTGAAGCAGACGGGAAGAAAGGACGACAGAACATCCAATGGTCATTACATAATGACATAATGGAACTGCTAATTTTTATTAACATTCTAACAACCAGATGAAGCACTCTGCAACGGGATAGTCGCCAAAAGACGTTCGAGAACAAGCAGCGAGTTGAAGGTGAACAAAAATCAGGAAAGAAATCTGCATCAAAAAGGGGAGTTGTCAAAGGTGTAGTAGTAGACGTGTTGCTTGAAGTTGTGGGCAGTTGCATAACTTGGGTTGCATTGCACCGCTTATGTTTGAAGCAGTGCAACCTCCTGCCCCAGACCTTCCAACCTCTAGGAGAGGAGCATTTCCAGTTTCAACTTTACGGGTTTGGGGTTGGAGAGCTGGGAGTTGTCGGCTCGAGCGGTCTCCTGATGGAGTTTGGGTTGGTTCTATTGCTTCTATTGAGTGGATTTGTTCTATGCGCGTCTTCTAGTCTTAGTGTTTTTGTGATGGGTGTAGAGGGTGCATTTGGATTTGGGCAAGGGGAGTGCGAGATTCGACTTGCAAAGCCATAAGCATAATGTAGTTGTGATCCTTCAGTTGTTACAGGTTTTTACTTCATTGTTGTTACAACCTTATCCTTACACCCTTTTTCCTGTTATGTGATGTTATGTGTATTCACTGGAACAGACCATTTTCATGTTCTCACCTTTGGGGGTTCCGGTTTGCCTACGATGGTTTTGAAAAGTGGTTAAACATGCTACGGGGTTAAGCATGCTATTTTCTGTGGGGTTGTGTGTGGTTTCATACTATGTGTTTCTTCCCAGGGGTCGTGTAGCACGCGCGACTCTGGCGTGGCGTCTTCTAGTGGTGTGTACGGGTGGTTCAGGGAAGTTTACATCGCATGGGTGTGGCCAAGGGGGGTGTGCGGTAAGAAAATGAAAAGGGAATGGCCATCGCTAGCTAAGTAGAACAGGCAGTGCTTTATGCAGGCATCGAGAGTTTGATTTGAGTTCATGCGTCAGGGTCATGGACTTGAACCCACGCTGCGGCCTCACCACGAGTTTGCTGAAGGATCTCGTCAGGGCGGGCCTCCACTTTGCATGTTCAGGATGCACAGACGCCGAGGCATCACCCCGTTTGCAATTGTGATCTGCAACTTTTCGAACCGGACTCGGAAGTTTCTTTCTTTGGCGCACCCTTTCCGGTGTCATCTGTCACATGCCTGAATTTCAAAGGTTAGCGCTGATGCGCATGGCAAACCAGCGCGTTGTTTACGTCAGCATCTTTGCTTCCAGCGGCGGTGCTTTTCAAGATGTCCAGTTAACTTTATAGCCAACGTTTGTTTGACCAAGATGGCCACAGCCTTTGCTTTGCGCAGCTTGCCCGTGCGGCACTCATCTCCTCGAGATGCCTCCTGCATGTTGCTGCAAGATTCTGGTATGAAGACTTGCCACAGAGGCCGTGGCAAACCTCATCGGCAACTTTCTCAACATGCTGCCTGAGCCTTCAGTCGCGGCTCTGCTGCTTTCTCGGACTGCTCTTTCGCATGGCTGGAGGCCTATTCGAGTTGCTTATGATCCCAGAGAGCCATACTTGTTGGCTCCCTATTGCAAGCTCGGAAATCAGCAGCCGCAGTGCTGGTGATATTTAAGTACATCTTGTGCTAAGGGACATTGCATCCCGCGTGGCGCAGTCCACCATTAATGTCCAGCGCTACAACCTAGCCCCCTTCATACAGATAGCAGACGCCTTGGTTTCGCCATTGGGAAGACTTTGCCGGGCAGTGCTGTCTTTGTCTGTTCTCAAAGGTCTCCGACACCCAACCACACTTTCCAACCGCAGATCCATCGAGGACAGTTCAAAGTGTGACGGGTGGTTTTGCTCAGAAATGTGCGACGAACATCCGCTTCAGGAATCCGGTGTATCAGTTCGGCGCTTTTATCGACTGAAGAGGCATTTTATCCCGTCCTGACTTGCGGTGAAAGGTCCATGGTTGACGTAGTTCCCCGAGACGACGATAGTGACGAGCCGGCGACTCAAAGACGTAGAAGTAATGACAAGTACATGCTTCGCACTTCTTCACGCCTTACTTTCCGCTTGCAGGGTTGGCCTCAAGGGAGTCCTCGATGTGTTTCTTTTTGCGAACACCAGGCAACACATCCGCAAAAGAGTGAGTCATTCTGTTTTCATATCTGTGCCAGAAATGGGCAAATCTTCAGATTGGACGGCGTCTTCAATAACACGGCCTGGAGCTGAGCGGGAGGTCGTGAGTCGTGAGCTGCCGAGAAGCATCATGGAATCATGGAACAAGGCAGTTGCAAGTGTCAGAACAGCACAGGTATTATCCAAAATCGCTTACCAGGAGAGAGCAAAGAAGGACAGAAAGGAAGGCAGGAAGGACCCCAAGAAGGAGGAAAGGAACGACCGAACAACTGAAGAATAGAGATGCTCAAGCCGTGAACCGATGCAGCCTTTTCCGCTAAGCAGCCATGTTCCTAGCTTTCGTTCATCAGAACTCTCCACGGGAACTGCTTGCCAGAACGGCTGCAGACAAAGCTTGACATGGGAAGCACTAGATGCAAGCACACTTCCGCATACGACAGAAAGCAAAACTTTTTTGGCAGAGGATCAAAGCAAAGCTCCGCCCGCATTTGTGCAAGTTACCCTGCCCGCGTTGCTCTAAGCAACCTTGAAGGGTGCTGGTAATTTCTTTGTTGATGCTGCATTTTCTTGGAAGTCTGAAATGAAGATGACCAGGGTTTTGTTCCTCATCCTGTTTGCCTGTCCCAAGCTGAACTTCTTCTTCAGGTTCTCACCAAGCAGACGGTGCGAAGCTTGTCACCTGAGAGGAGCAAGCTCGCGTGCCACGCGTGCCCCTTGACAGGTTCAGATGATTCTCATGCACACGAAGGTTGGATCCAGTGGATCGTTACGACACAGAAAATGCAAGATAAGCAAGGCCTTTGCTGTCCGCACATTGCCAGAGGCCTTGACTGTTTGGGCAGCCCGACATGCGAGGATGGCGCAGCTTAGCTTCAGCTGGTTGCCCGCAGTCTGTTCACAGTAGGGACGACCCCGCTGCTGACGTCTGGGGTGCTGGAGCCTGCGGGAACCCGTTGCCGTGCCTGTGCCACCTTGCATCTCTATTGGGTCCCACAGGTAGTTGGACACGGTTACGCGTGGGCCCGTCTGCGGTCGCTTCTGGTTGATGACTTTGGGTCAAAAGGCTGTTTAGGGTCCTCGAGGCCGGGAGCCGACCGACGCAGAGACGGCGTGCGCTCTCCGCCGAAAAGCCTCTCTTGGAGCTAAACGATCATTTTCGAGCCGAAATCACGGTCCCCGAGCCGAGAAAGGGAGCTTGCGAACCACCATTCTCAAGCCGAGTATGCGGGTTTAGCAAAACCCTTTCCGAGCCGAGAACGGGGGTTTAGCAAACCCCAGTCCAAGGGGCCGAGGGGATCGGCACGCAGAGTGCTCACAAAACATGAGCGTTTCGTGAGCAGAGTTTCCGGAAAGCTACGAAAAATGCCAACAAGAAACGGCCGTGCCGAGGTAGCCCGGAAATCTGTAGGATACATATTTACCAACCCATCTCGAACCCCGTGACAAAATTATCCTGATCCCCCAACCACTCAAGGGGGTGATGTTTCTGCTAATTTTTTCAGTATTTGGAAACATTGTATTTACAGCCGGCTTTTCTGTTTTTGAACACCTGCTGTTTCCGCTCTTTTCGTAAGTACCCCTTTACTATCAGCGGGACATGTCCATCCACATCCCTGCAACGCGGGGCGGTTGGCGAAAAACAATGTGAATTTGGTGGGCAATCCGTGTCTGTCTGGGAATACCGCAGTAGGTCCTCTGCCGTGCGGCTTCCCGGCTTGCACCTTCTTGGTCACACGTCTTGTTATTTGTTGGCTTATGAGCTCTCTGCCTTCGCGACTGTTTTCGCCTTGCTGGCTCTACAGTGGTCTCGTTCGCCTCGTGGCCACCTCCAAGCTACTTTCGGCTGGGCAGGGTTGCATTTGGTGACTATTTGACATCGTGCTTGCATGGCTTGTTGTATTTCTCGCCTCATTGGCCCGTGTGACGTGTGGCTTTCAAACAAGGGCACGTAGATATGTGAGATGATGTTTGAGATGTGCACATAGATCACCCTAGGCTTCATGTGTAATGCTTGTAGAGACTGAAACAGAACATTCCATAAACGCCGGAGTACTCGTTATGCGGTTACTTATGCCAGTATGTATATCTGTATATGTACAGATATAGCTAAGCAAATAGATTAAGCAAACACGCCAACAAGTAAAATGTACACACGTTCATACAGAACTACATGCACGCACGCATAGAGACGCGGTTAACATGCCCCGTCATTTTTCATTCTGCTTAAGTACAACACAGGTATATTGTCCTATCATGCATGTTTCAATATATATATATATACATATAACTATGAATATACACTATATATATATGTGTATACATATATGTTTTAACTTATGTAAATTTTTCTTATGTACATGCATATGTCTGTTTGTCACGTACGTATTCACGTAGGTATGCAGGAGCGTAGGTGCGTGCCGGGCACGCAACATCGGCATGCATCTATGCATGTATGTATATATGTATGCATGTATGTATGTGCCTATGTGCATATGTCCTTGGGTTGCATATATGTTTAAAACAGAACGGAGGCCTGTGTAGGGAGGGAGCCAAGACGTGCACACATATGTACATGTATCTGTACATGTACATGACATGCATGTCTGTGTAACTTGTTTGTGTGTGCATGTATTGGAGTATGTACAGATACAGCTATAGGTAAAGGTTTAGCTGCAGGTCTAGGTAAAATGTATGTATGTGTAAGCCTATCTGTCGACACAGTGCTGTCTGCCTGCCTGCTTGCCTGCCTGGCTGGCTGGCTGTCTGTCTGCCTATCTGCACGTATGATGGACGGATGGACGGTCGGACGGACGGATGCATGGATGGATGGATGGATGGATGGATGCATGCCTGGATGCCTGCCTGCCTGCATGCCTGCCTGCGTGCATGCCATCATGCGCTGCGGCGACTGTGCCGCCGTGGTTTCAATTTCACGTTCCAGCCGTTGTTGGGCAGCTTGTCGCTTGTCACATGCATGGGGGCTCCAAGGATTCCTCGTATGCTCCGGTTGGGCACTCAGCAGGATCATGGACCGTTGCACCCGGCCGGCTGGGGCTTCGAGCTTGCACCTGTCGAAGTCAGAGCGGGAGGCTCTCGGAGATGGCCCAAGAAGCAAAAGATGCCGCAGCAAGCCAAGAATTCCAATGCAATTGGACCATAACTCCTTCTGAGACATGCCACGGAATGCCGTCATCAGTGGTTTGTGTCGGAAACCAACGTTCACCACTGGTGTAAGCTTTTGCACGACCTGGTTCAAACTGGCATTCAGGAGAAGGGTATCATCTTAACGCACGTGCTGGCCCGCAACCAGATAGGCCAGGGTCCCCAGGCGTCAGCAGCGGTCCTGCCAAGCTTCTTCCTCGGCACAGGACTGCCTTCGGTGGCAGCTATGACAAGCGGCCCGGAGGTGCTTCCACATTGCATGTCACGTTGGTACCTGAGCTGGGCCATGAGGCGCTTCCAGGATTAGCAACTGCGCAACTGAATTTCAAGCCAACATGCCACACGAACTGTCCATCGCAACATTGCAGGTGGCTGGCTGTTGAGAGGGAGCTGATCAGTATTCCTGATACTGCGAACTGTGCACCAAGTCTGACTGCCCACGCAAAATCGAAACGATCAGCAGAAGCCTCGAAACTTAGTTCGTAGTGGGCACAGCATGGAAAGCTCCAAGAAGACACCCTTATCGAGACATGCAGTGTCAGGGCTCTGGCATCTCCGATGAACAGCGCGGTATTCGAGCCTCACGACGCACGGCTCCCGGTTTGAAGTGTAGGCGAGGCAGAAAACCCGTTGCAAAAAGCCCATGATCCGGAACCCACACCGATCTGAAGACTTCACCAGTAGCCGCCCGTCGCCTGGTCAGTGGATTTTGAGCCAGGTTGCCAAAGGTGCTTGCTGCCTTACCAAGGTTTTAAGCTGCATTCTGCGCTGGAGATGTGTCTGAGACCCAGAAAGGACTTAGACTCAATGCATCGCCACAAGTTCGCACTCCTGCCCAGGTGCAGACATCGCGCAAAGTCAGATGAAGTCTGCTATATTGCCGACGCGTGGATCCGAGCGAGTTGAATGATGGGACTCAGAATGCGCATTATGTACCGATCATTTCGAACGGGTGTCTTAGACTTGAATTAATGAAACCAACCCTACAACTCGCCTGGAATGCCCCAGCCACTGCCTCTTTCCCAGGCCTCTTCAGCCACCAAAGCGTAAGCAGGCGGCTCAGCCAAGGTGGCAGGACATGCCGCCTTGGTTTCGTACATTTCGGCTGTGTGGCTGCATGCCGCGACAGGTGGCCGTGTGCGTAATTATCCGATTAGCTATTGTTCCATAGCAGGTTCGACGACGAGAGGTTAACTAGCCTAAGTCGGACAGGTGCCGCCCACAGTCACATCCAAGAGTGCAAGCACAACCTCGGGACAAAGAAAGATGTCCAATTTGACTTCTAGCGAATCCATAAGCGGTTTTCTTGGAAGCGGGGGCTGAGTCGAAGCTAGGAAATGAGCATCGCCTTCGTGTTGTAATGCCCGGAAAGGTCGCTGCAGTAGTGCAGCCCAGCACGTTGACCGAAGTTTTAGCACTTTCCGTCGACGATGCGGAACCTGGGCTTGCTTGCTAGCTATCCGAGCACAGCCTTCTGCTCCAAGCATGAGCAGGAATTGGCACCTCGACCTGCAGTCAGTGAACCTGCGCCGGCAGCGATGTCGATCCTGGCACCACGACCAGATTCAATGTTTGCGGGTGTCTGCAGTCGAGGAGGCAAATTTGACCTTCGCATTGCATCGAATTTCGCTTCTGCTGCTTGCAGAGTAGGTCCTTACCACGACAGGGTTCAAAGACACACTGACAAGATTTCAAATGTCAAACCACAACGACAAGCTAATCTCTTACACTGACAAGGGTTTACGCTCAACCCTGGCAGTATGTGCTGGTGTGGAGTGGAGTTCTCATTCCGAGAAGCTTTGCAACGGTTCTCATTGCATCAGTTCTCATTCCGACAAGATTTGCCTCAGGACAGAAGTGTAAGCTTGACACATGCAATTCAATCATGCCGCCGCCCCCTCTCCCCCGCCACACGCGGG